TAAGCACCAGCACAACCTGAAGGATTTGCCAGAAGGGCCATATGTAAACAGATTTGATCTCCCTCATCCTGAGCTTGAGCAGACCAGATGCAAGCCTGGTTCAATCTCGAAGTCTTGTAGGCGTGTTTGTGCAGGACTAAAGTGAACCTCATAAACCCTATTGCGAGCAAACAGATCAAGTCTTCCAGAACACTTGTTCCTTGAGTGCTTTCATCTGGGTTTGCTGGATTTAAATTAACCTAAGAAATCTTTCAAGCAGCACGCTTTGTTTGTATATGGGTCATTCAAATTCCATGTCTCTCTACAACTGACTGGAGGAGTGTTTGAGGACAGAGGGTGAGAGCAAATTCTCACAGAACAGAGCAGCTTCAGCTGTCGACATCTTTCGGTTAAATGTGAATTGATGTGGCGGTCGCTTACAATGGGGTGCTTCACCTAGTGGCCTCCATTGTATTGCTTTAATAGGGCAGTGAGTATTGCTGAGGGGAAAGGGGAACAAAAGGTGTCTTAGTGCAGATCTTGCCTTGCTTTTCCTAGTCTGTTGGGCTCTGATACTGCTGCTTTAGAAGAGTTTTTGTCACTTTCACTGTTGCAGACAACCAGCTGTGACCCAAATGACAACCATGACCTGGGGACGTTCAGCATTAACTGCTGATGCTTAAGGGCTTGAGCAGGATGCCGGAAAGGGCACTGGAGAGGGTTTATGCCACTGGCCAGACATCCCTCCCTGTTCAGACTGCTCAGGCTAAGGGCTTTTCCCAACCATGAGAGCTGAGACTATTACTTAGGATACATTAAAGACCTCTCTTAATCAACTACCACTTTGTCAATTCACTTGGGAATAAGACTTGGTAACCTCACACTTCAGAAAGACGTCCTTCTCTTCTATTATGTCCTATGCAGAGAGGAAGAACATTTTGCCTAATTTCCCAAAATATACTGTGAGTGGACATGATTCCTACTCGTAACTGTTTTCCTCTACTTGCATCTCTTCATCATTGGGATGCAATGAGACCCAAATAGAATCATAGAATCAGAGAATGGTTTGGGTTGGAAGGAACCTTAAAGATCATCTAGTTCCAACCCCCACTGCCACAGCAGGGACACCTTCCCCTGGATCAGGTTGCTCAAAGCCTTATATAGAGAGAATAGAGGGATAAAGAGGTATATACTGTAGATCGTGAATGATGGATTTCATTAGAGTACTTGTTGCAAGAGAATTGAATTGAGAGTTCACCTTTGGAGGAATCTTGCCGGACAAATCCATCTTGAATGAAACATATTTATCTCATACCTTCTGGCTTGTCTGTATGATTCTGAGTGAATAATGCAGCTTCACAACCTAGTTCCTGTCCCTTTCCTCCCTGTCCTTCCTCCCAAGGCATGGAGTATTTTCTGCTACATTAAACAACTTCACAAGAAGAGATGGTCTTACACACCACAACTTTGTGGCTAACAAACCTTTCAGGAGCATGTGAGAGATGTGACAGAGGAGAAAATGGAACCTAGGTCTTCCAAAGCCTGGCAGGTGTTCTTACTGCTAGGCTACTGAGTAAACGAGGCAGCTGAAGGGGAGTGAGGACTGTTCATATGCCAACAAAGCATCAATGGGGTTTTAGGTTACTGGCTCCCTGCAGCAAGGTAGAAAACAGGGCAGAGAACTGAGGGATAATTAAATTCCTGGTGTGTTCAGAGGCATAATGATCTGTGTGTGACCTGTGCACAGGGTTTTTGGTGTGTCTACCATTAAATTTCTGATAGCACACAGCTGACAGCTACAGATAGACTCCTTGACTTTTTTTACAGCTGAAGCTGATGGGAACAACATCCCTTAATTCTGGCCATTCGTTGTATGTATATTTCTTCTGATTGTGATGCCTCGCAAATGTCACTCCTTCTATAAATGGTCTCAATTGTTGATTAAGTTGAATTTATAGATCTCGATATATGTTAATTTGTAGGCTGCAAGCATTTAGTTGCATCTTTATTTTATTTTATTAGACAGTTGCAAATGAAATATCTCCTGTCGTTAAGGTCATTGTGTTAGCAGTTAATGTGCAACATTTACTAAAATGTTAAACATAGTTACTTAGCTAGTTAGACCAGATATATTCACTTACTGTGTAATAATAAATACTCTAATAACTTAAAATTACCTTTTTTTCAAACCTTCTTGTGTTCATCTATTTGACTTTGGCCAGTGGATCCTTTCCTGTTAATTGCAGAAACAAGCCATCTACAAGTAGTGGTAAAACAATGCGGGGAAGCTCCTTGGACTCTTTGCATGGGATTGAGATTTCAATTGGAGTATTGAGCCAGCAGAATTTCCCTTTGAAACTCACAGGAAAGGCAGCTAGCTGCCTGGTACAGAGCAATGGAAAGTCCTTTGTAGTTCTGCTACTACCAGAGTTAGCTGATTAATGATGATAAATATACCGGGGGCCAATTCTGACTTTGCTTTCTTCTGAATTTTTCTTTATTGCAGTTTGACCAAGCCAGAAGTTTGTTGAATAGCTTTTGTGGATGCTGTTTAGCAGGAATGAGTAATTTTTTCTACCAATATTACTTCCTTCTTTAAGAAATTCATACTTTGACCAGCTTCATCTATCATCAAGTCCTGAGCCTTGCTTTATCTTCTGATGCTCAGTCCAAGTACACTTGTTTGGCAGGTTAGGGAAAAAGAGGAAAGAAGACCAATAGCATATATTATCATATACTTGTATACATGTGTCGCCTTTGTAGCATTTGAACAATTGGAGCAAGTCGATTTTCTTTGGCAGACTCAGATACTACTGGTGGCTCTTGGCTCTGAGTTTTTTTCTGAAGCATCAAGAATTCTCCAACAGGGCAATCCATGGCTTTAGCACAAATCTATGGCAGTGGCAGTGCTTTGCGGGGTGAGTGGAAAGTTAGACTGGGAAATCGGTGTTTCTGAATTTGCTTGTTTCGGGAAAGGACCTTTTTATTTCCTCTGAAGTGATAGCTGCAGCAAATGCTGTGACCAGAGTCTTTCAGATGTCTGTGCAGACTGGAAAAATCCCTGAGACCCATCATCTGAAACTTAACTGTTAACATATTTCAGATACTTTATACTGCCTTTGAACTCCGCTATGGAATATTGCATCTCCCAACAGCAAGCTACAAATGTCCTCAAACATGTTACGAATTTTGCTTGGAGAAAAGTGAAATGAAGGTAATACTGAGGGGATTTTTCAAACAAGGAAACTCTTTGTGAGGAATTTGTCAGAACTGCCCAGGCTTGGGAGTGAAAGAAAGGCACTGGAAATGCTCAGCAGTGAGATTAAGTTAGACAGTTTTTCCCTCCTAATATTTTTATTTCAGTGACAGCCTTCAAACTTTCACTAGATAAGGTATATAACCTTGAAGTTAAATGGCAGGTTTTCTAGCCATAGGATCAGCCTAACAAGAAAATCGTTACCCAGATAAAACCTTCCTTCATACTGCTGTCCTTGCTGTTGCTTCCGTGTGCGTGATCTGAAGGTTTCTACCAGCACAACTAATGTTGTGCCTCCAAGGGCTCTCTTTTCTCAGTTATCTTGAAGAAACTGCCAGCTTGAAAGCTGTGAGCCGTGTTGCTAGTGTGACTGAACCCTTGAAGGGATTGGTATTTGTATCATGTCAATTGAATAAATTAATCTCTGCAGTGCTGTGGAGGCTACAGGATAAGAGTTTCTGTTCAGCTGAAATATCACACTTTAAATCTCATTGATGTTCTTACACTCTCCGGTACTCAACTTGTCAGACGGTTATTTATGTATGACACAACTTTATTTCCGAATACTTGTAAAAGTAGCTTTGAAGAGGAAGGTTTGGATTAACCTTCTTTTACATAGGGGCATTTTCAGTTTTGAAGCCATTCCAGTAATGTCTGAACATGCTTCAATGCCAATTAACCATAAGGTAATAGTTCTGCCAGTGGAGAGAAAGTTTTAAGTGCTGTAAAATATGTAATTGAACATGATTCATGCTGCAGTATTGTCTCACACTAAGGTAAAAAAATCTCATCCTGCTATAAACGTTATGAATAGTACCTCACTGGTGTTTGTCAAGCATGTTTGTGTAGTCACTCCAACCCTTGGAAAATAAACAGGAATTCCTCTAAGAATTTACACTGCATGTGGTTTTGATTTTATTTCCTTGTACTTCTCTTAGACTCTTCTTTCCTTAGACTCTTCTTTCCTAAGCCAGTAATGGGTCCAAAAGATAGGAAGATACTCTGTATGTCTGCTTTTATTGGGGAAAAGAGAAAGACCTAGAGAAGATGATTTTGTATTAACTCTTCTGCTGGTTTCTCTCTTATTTTCTGTGGATCTTGATCCCAGCTTCTAGTTTGCCACTATCTGCAAAGAAAAACTAGAAGCCCGGCAATTATTTCATGTGTACTTGGGAAAATGTAGAACCATCTTTCTCAAGGAAACTCTTTGGAACTGAAGATAAATTGTGGATATATATCTGTATCCAGCATATCTATCTGATGCAAATGCACTCCCTGAAACCAAGAGTGAAGTGCTGGAATCTGCTAAGTGAAATTCTGGCTTTTCATTACTAAAGACTGTATTTGATATGTAGCACTCTAAAGTCACTTGTTGAAGGCTTAATGACATTTCTTATTATCATTGTCCTGGTGTCTAATAACAAGTCAACTTCCCTGCAATAGGCATGTGAATTGGACTTTGTCCTCCACTGTCCTGCTAGTTTTTGTGAAGCTTCAAAAAAAATATCCTTGAAAATTTGTTTTTTTTTCCTGTGATGTTTAGGTTAAATTAGCCAGTATTTTCAGAGGGCTGATGGGAGGCTGGGAAATGCAGGCAGATGAGCTCAGCTCTTGATAATAAAAGTTGTAGAAAACCAGACCAAAATTTTTCTTCACCTTCTGTTAATGTCATCAGGGTGTGGAGGTTTGGCAGTGCTGTAAGAAATCATGTGTTGAACTGTAAAGTACGTAAACCTGATACCCTAATCTCTTGTACCTTTTGCAGGTGGAGATTTACATTTTACCTTTATATATTTACCTATGGAGTACGGTTCCTGAAAAAGGTAGGCACTGACATTATTATGCTTTCATAACACATCACAAATTTGTTTGAAGTCTCATGTAGGTATAATATAAAGCACAGGCATAAAACTTATGTTCATGAAGAATAAAAATTAAAATTTAATTTGCATTTATAAAATGAGTTGCTACTGGCATTGGTAAGGAATATAAGTTCTTATCAATATTTAATGAGATTAAAAAAAAGTAATAATTGGTATAGCAACACGCCTAGTTCACTTTATTACTTTTCATTATAGGTGTTAAGCTGGCAGTAGGGCTTACCAAAGTATTCATCTCAATTTCTGCATCATCCTTGTTTAAATGCCTCTGGCAGAAGTTGCTTTTTATTAACAAACAAAATCCAATAGTGTTTTATAAAATGCTATTTTTTGCTCATTCTTTCTCTGAGGTACTGTGGAGAGAAGTTTCCATGGAGTTTTCCATCAATGCCGTGTTTCTGGTGATTTAGCTTCTAAACACCCTGGCATAGGTCTATTAACCCTGCCATGGGCAGTAATATGGATTTATGGTGCAAACTGTTTTTACAATGTGACTAGTTCTCAGAGCTTTTGTGCAAGTCGGGCCATATTTGTGTAATTCTGAGAGGTGAAATTAGGGGAATATAAGGTCTCGGCACATTCATGTAATCTTATTTTCTTTATTTTGGACAAAAATTTGACAGAAGAAAATGTATCCTAAATGTTTCTGGTGCTTTGTAAGTAAAAGTAGTTATTAAAAAAAAAAAGAATCCTCATTGTTTTTATGGTTGTAATTCTTGAGGATGTCCCAGGTGCCAGTCAACTTGGTGCCGGCAAGACTGATGGTGTGCCTGTGCGGAGAGGGGACGTCAGAGCTGTTCTCAGCTATTTACCAGTAGTCAGCCCCAGAGGAACTGTGTGTGCCAGTCCTCCAAATGGACCAGAACAGCACGTAATTTGCAACTTCTCCCTGCCTCCTTGAACACTTACACTTTGTGTGTACTTCATCCATTAACATGCTATATGGTCATGATCTGATACACAGTTTTCTGCCTTTGATTCCATCCGTGTCTGTGGTATGAAATACGAGAATAGTTTTAATAAGCAATTGTCACAACCTAAAAGGTTACTTGGCCTGCACGTGTGTGGAGGTCACAATCATGGGTTCATAGGATTCTGCAGTACATGAGGACACGGAGGCTTTATCTTCTGAATTTCTCTGCTTTATTACAGATTACCACAAATACCACAAAAATAACCATTAGCAAGTATCATGAAATTACTACTAGAAAGCATACCTGTGATTAATAAAGTGCATCTCTCTCAGCACAAAGAAATTGCTTATTCCAGGGAAAACTGTGAATACCAGTATTTCTAAAGACTGAGAAGAATACAGTAAATGCATCCTTCATTACAGGCCATTGTGAGCTGTTTCTACAGGCTGAGTTGACACAGAAAGTGCAGGATGTCTTTCTCCCAATTCAGCCTATCTCTGCAGTTTGAGGGCTGGCTGACATAGCATGGTTGTTTGAACAAGGTGTACCATTGCTTGCTTAACAAGCTTAACAAGGATGGCTTGTGTAATTTTGCTGTAATTTTAACTTTCAACATGCTTAATTTTTACAAAGCGAACTTGTGCCTTATGTAATTGTGTATGTATTTTTAATTACTCATTTTTACACAGTGTTGTAAATGAGTCTTGCAACATTTTATGCTCTAGTCATTATTCCAGTGTTCTGCTTTGTATACTCAGGTCTTTCACATGGGAATGTATGTAAATTAACAAAATTATGATTGTGATTGTATTTATATTTACACCATCTCCCTAATAACATCGTGTAACTAAAAGAAAGTACAGGCTTTTTGCTGTTCGTCAAACACCAAAGCTTTTACTGGGTCCCCCCTTAGGGGGCAAATGTGGGTTTGCAAGGAATGAAATCTAGATCCTAAAATCTGGAGGGAGATACTTCTTTCAGAGCTTCACTGCAGTACCAAAGTGGATAATCCTATTTAATTTGTCTTGGTTTTCTTAATGGAATAATTGCAAAGAAATGCTTACTTGCTTCCTTAGGAAGCTAGTGAAAGAACTTAAGCATAATAAATTATCTTATAAATTTGATAAAAGGATCTTTCCTTCAAAAAGCTGTTTTGCCTGGAGAGAAAGTTCATGTCAGAATCAGCCATGTCTTGCTGTGCTAATGCTACAGTAGAGATCTGCATCCTTTCACATAACAAGGTCTGCTTAAGACCATCACTAAGATACCTGGTCTGGAAGACTGATAGCATGGTGAGTGAGCCCAGTGCAGTGGCAGTCCTGAGGGGTGCAGTTCCGTCACGGCAACACGTGCTCCCTTACACGGAGAGGGGAGAAAGAGTAAATACTACAGGGGTCCTTTTTTGAAGAACACAATATACCGCCATTATAGCACCGTATTGGAAATACTCATTTTGACTTTTGAAAACTAAGCTAAGGCTTAGTTAATACATAACTCACAGATAGTTGGGTAAGACATTTTGATACACTATGTCTTTCAAACATCCGAATGTAATAAGAATGTATTTTTAAAAAGGAAACTGCATTTTGGTGCTTTTCAAATGAACAGAATCATTCAAGGTTGGTTGTTTTGTCCATTTCTGGATAGTTAAGATCCTTGACTTGAGAAAGCTGATTTTGCCATCGTCAGTGGGATGTGCTCCTTGTTAGTTGATCTTATGATTTTTACTCTCATGAAGTACTCTCTTTAGAAAGGTGAACCAATTCAGTTGTATAAAAGGCTCTCCCTAAAACACTATGCCCAATACATTGCCTCTTTTATAGTTTCTTTGTTGCTTCTAAATTGCTGTGCAACAAAACACTTTGATTCCTGTAGTATTGTCCTTCCCTCCTGACTTGACCGAGTCTCCTTCCAACCTACCGCTCCTTTGCTTTGCTGCTTATGTTGCTGACCTGATGGGTTTTTTTGTTCACGTTTGTCTCTTTTAAATGTTCTTTCCTTGGTTTGAGGGTGAAATTAATCTTTACCTACAAGACTGGCAGGGAGCCTGTCAATTACTTAAGCACCACTTTGAGCTAGTTTTGAGGTCCTTTGCTTTGTGCTGGCCCTTTGCCTGGAGGCCAGTTTCACCTTCTGGATTCTTTCTGGAAACACCTTTCTCATAACACAATGAATTATTGCTACCTTGTCTTCTGCTGTCACCTCCCCTATTTGTTGTGTGAAGCAATATTACTGCATCAGTGCAGTATCAGCAGAAGGGTGGATGTCTGTGTTTCCTTGTGCCCACCAAACCACCTGAGGAAGATACAAACAGGATACTTTGGCAAACCGCCATTCTTGCAAAGAATGCCATTAGGTCTCTGGTGGCTTTGTAGAGCTGATAAGCTTATCTGGCTTTAAGGGAAGATGTGCCAAAGCTTAATAAGCAGTAATTAGGTAGCAGACTTATCAACTTTCTTTGTTTTAGTTCTGTAAGTGTAATACTGTCAGCCTGGCACACATGCTGACGTTAATTTATTTTTAGAACGGTAGTAACTAACTACATTAAAGTTTTACATTTGCCTGGCTAGAGCATCTTGCAAAGAGAAAGAGACCTGGGGTGTCAGCTTTGATTTTCACTTCCCTACAGAAGCACATGAAAGCTAATAAAGCTGTCGTTTGGAGCAATTGTAGCTCTCTCTAAAATGTCGTGGCAAGCTTGTCTTTGTTACTGTCCATGACTACTGTTAATGGCTTATCTAGGTAAAAGAAATTTCTGCACTCAATAAAGCAACCTGTAAGTCTTTGTAGTGACAACTGCACGTGATACGATATATCAGTTCTTTTGCCATGCTATAATTGCTGAGTACATTGCTACAGATTTAGAAACTTTCTTCTCACTGAAAGCTCTGTCTCTTTATCAAACTGTTCTTTTGGGTCTTGTCTTTTTCCAGTGAGAAGATGTGTGCTGTTAAGTCATAAATAAAGTAAAAAAAAAAAAAAATCTTACTTTTGTTGAACGATATTTTCAAAAATTCTCAGTTCACAGGAAAAAATGCCTAATATAAAGCTTTATCTTCAAAATTTGCTCTCTTGCAACAGCACCTGTCAACCTATATGTTTTAAATAAGTTTTTGTCTTAGTGGTGTCTGCAGGACACTTAGATTGGGCCATTTTTGGGGATTGTTCAGCCTGGAGAAGAGAAGGCTCCGGGGTGATCTTGTAGCAGTCTTCTAGTAAGGGAAGCTGGAAAGGGACTTTTTACAAGGGCGTGTTGTGATAGGACAAGGGGCTTTTTACTGAAAGAGGGGAGATTTCGATTAGATACAAGGAAGAAATTTTTCACTCTTGATTCTGTTGTAAAATTTTCTCAGCTATCGGACAGCTATTTGCAGAACATGTTGCGTGTTACTGACGTAATTTGGAGCAGAAAAAAATATCTGCATCAGAATGATCAGTATTTCATTTATCGTTTCCATCTTCTCTTGCTGTACTTGCTTCATCTACTTTTCCACGTAGCTAATGCTTCTGGATATTTTGCAGAACTGAATAATACAAGAAACACAGCATCTTGGAAATATTCACACAGTTTGGAATACATCTGACCATCTGATTCTTAGAATGAGACTACTTAAACCAGGCTAAATTTTTCTGGTTTTAATGCTGAGATACCAAAGCATAAGTTTGTGAAATATCTACCACCTTGGTTTAAACCAGAACTGACTCTAGAAAACAACAATGTGGCAAGATCTGGAAGCGGGAGGTTTGCCTCCAGAGCCCTTGCTGCCACCCTCTCCCTCCCTCATTCTTGAATAATTTGAAGCAGGCATTCAGCTGGGCACTTTTTCTAGTCTAGTCTGCATCTGTTGTGATGTTTCCTTCCCGTGTTATACCTAAAAGGTTGTTATATTATCTATTACTGAAACCTTGTAATTACTTTTGTTCAGTGAGCTTATCTGCCCAATACTGGATAAATACTCTCATTTAAATGAAGAATGTCAGAGGCCACTCTGGAGCCCTTTTAACACAATGCTGATATTTGATATTTTA